AAAAAAAAAAAAAAAAAAAAAAAAAAAGAAATAATGGGCAAAAAGATGCTATTAAGCACAGCCTTGTTGTTTTTGCTGTTTTCCATGGCAATGAACTATTGCCCATCTGTCATGTACCATCCTGCCTTGGAGCCAGCTGACTATGGACTAAAACCTCTACAAACTGTGAGCTAAATAAATCTTTTCTTTTTTAACTTTGGGTGTCGGGTATTTTATCTCAGCAATGAGAAAAGTAACTAAGACATTTTCTTTTTTATTTTTATTTAATTAGTACTCGTTTGCAATACATGCATTTTATAGTCACCTTAGAGGGTTGGTACGTGTATGGAATATAGCTTGTTTCTTTTTTTTAATCCCCTCCCCTCCTCCTCTCTCACTCCTCCTCTAGTTTCCCTAGCCCTCTTTTCATTCTTGTTGATATTATTAATCTTAGTTTATGTTTATGGTATGTAATGTTTACATTCATTGAGTTTATTAGAACCTTGTATGTGGCATCTTTTCAGGCTGCCTATTTCCCCATCCTCTCCCCTTACCCTTCTATACAACTTAATTTTATATCGAACTTTCTGAAAAGCATGTATTATTTAAAGTATCAGACATCTTCATGTTGTAGTTCCAAACATAGAGAATAGTTAGGCTCCTAGGCCAGTATCCCAGATAATTTTTTTATTATGAACAAATGTTCTTAAAAATAAGATATCTGTAACTGAAAAAATATGCATTCTTAACATTCTCTTCCACAGTATTTCCTGCCAACACTTAACAAAATGGAAATCATATGTAGTTTTATATACTCTCTTAATTAATGGTTTCTATTGCCAGATTTTTATATTGTTTTCATTTGGCTTAAGTGATATAGCAAAAACACTGTAATAAACCTCATTCTTTAATTCATCAACTATTTGAGTCCCAACTCTGGCCCCCAAATATTTTTGAGTATCATGTATTTGGGGAAAGTACAAAATAGTTACAATAGACACTTTTTTTCATTACTTGGGATTGAACCAAAGGCCTTCACATGGAGCTACATCTCTAGCCCTTTTAATTTTTTTTCTTTTTTTTTTTTTTTTTGAGACAGGGCCCAGCCTGGGGGTACTCGAATATTGCAGTCTTCCTACCTCTGTCTCCCAGAGTGCTGGGATTACAGGATGAGCCACCAAACATGGATGGCAATATACATCTCAGGTTTCTTCTCTTTCCCCAACTTTTGTGTTTCCTGCTCTGGGTGGTAAAGCTTAGTGTTATTGTAGTCTGGATCTGTATCTAAATATGTCAAAAGTGGTGAAAAATAACAGAGTCATATTCCCTTTCAACAAAGCCATGCTTGGGAACTTGTTGCCTTGCTATAGATTATACCTTTCTATTTGGAGTGTTAAAAGTTGAGTACTAACTTTCCCTCTATATGCAGTCTTGTGACCATCTAATACTTTCCATGGGATCTGAATGCCTTAGACCGACTAGAACACATACATGCAAACATACATGTTCTAGTATAAGGAGAAAGTGTTTTTAAAATATCACCCAGGTCCTCCTCCTCTTTCTTCCCTTCTCCTTCTTTTTCCTCATCTCTCTCTCCATCTATCTATGTCTCTATCTATCTATTTATCTAATTGTTTCACAGCTTAGGAGACCTGCATTACAAGATCCTTTAGCCACACCCCTAAGCTATTAACCTAAGTATAACATGATCCAATTAACACACAGTTTTTTTTTTTTTTTTTTTTTTTTTTTTTTT